AGCTGTAACTACTGCAGGAGACAAAGGAGGCAGTGCTGGGTGCGGGTGACAGGAGTCTTCATGAAGGAGCACCTGAAGACTGGCCTGTGAGGGAAAGGTAGGTCTTCAATGAGGCCCAGGAGAAAAGCGAAGCATTCTAGGCATAGGACACGGTGCATGCATGAGTGGTGGGACAAAAGGCTACACATGCAGCTGGTTGGGGACCAGCATGGGGGCTTGTAAAAGGTGTTGGTATCCTGGCTCTGGGGTTAGTATTTGAGCATGTTGACTAGGCTTGGCTTCTGGTATAAAATTTATCAGTGATTAATCTGTTACTTTGAAAACAAAAGTTGACATCTAGACAATAACTATTAATTGGGTCACCTGAGTGGCTCAGTCCGTTAAGTGTCGGACTCTTCATTTCAGCTTAGGTCATGATCTCACGGTTCGTGGCATCAGGCCCCGCATGGGACTCTGCATGGATAGCTTGGAGCTTGGGATTCTCTCTCTCTCTCATTCTCTCTGTCCCCACCCCCGCCCCCCAGCCCAGCCCTACTCATGCTCTGCCACACGAGCATGCTCTCTCCCTCAAAAACAAAAGAAAACGAAACAAAACAAAAAACCAAAAACTTATAAAACAATAACTATTAATTGGATCATTTTCTGAAACGCACCTGCTCACACATAGTGCCCACCTCCTTACTCTATCACAAAAGCTGACGGGACAGCCGTGCTTTCCTGATCTCGGGTCTGGCTTCCAAAGGAGGTAAATGGATATTTAGACAATGGAGCCTGTCTTCTCTCTTCCTCATTCTAGTCCTTAGCCCCAGGCCTTTCCTGTTGTCTTCAGGGTTCTGAAATCTTGACCTGCCCTCTGAGCCCCCTTCAAAGGTGGCAGCTATTAGCCCACAGCTTTCTGTATCAGGCACTTGCCAATTTAGTGCCTGCTTGGGTTACCCCTGGCTCTCTTGCTGGCCCATGAGCTCTTGGAGGGAATGGTCTATTTTTATACCCCTGGTAAAGATGCCTGCAGGTACCAGAAATTCAAGATTAGTTCCTAACTAGTTTTTTGTTCTCTTTCCCCTCAACTGCTACAGACGTTTCTAAATTTGTAGCCCTGCCACAAGCTCTCCTTCTATCTTAAATCCATTAGAGGTACAATAGCAGGATCATCTTAACTCCACTTTCATTTTTATGACCTCTTCTCTCAAAATTTCACAGAGGCCCTAATTCTCTCTTGGATTGATGCAGAATCCCTAATAATAGAACCTAAGGCTTTATCTAGCTGACTTTATACCTTAGTATATTCTGGTTTAGGATAAATCCCAAAAATTTAACACAGAGCTCAGTGCTACCTACAGCCACTAGCCAGGGGCATAGCACCAAGAGGCACTAAATAGTTACAGAATAAATGAGTGAATTATCTTTTCAATAAACCCTCTCATTTCCTATTTTGCAAACATCCTTCCTGATCCTATATATATATATGTCCTCACAGATAACACGTTACCAATTTGAAGACAGCTTTTTTTTTTCCTGGCAGGTCAGAATGTTTAAAGCATTTGTTCTGACTACCTTCTTTCATGAAATCTGACATCAGCCAGTCAGGATCTAGTCACTTAAAACATTAACAGCTTCAATACTTGTGCCCGTCTAGTTTTCTGTTCAGTAGGATGCCAGTCAAGGTCAAAGATCATGCCAGCTGCTTCCTCGTCATTCTGGGCACTAAGGCAGAGTCTTCTGTAAATAGTGAGTACTAAGTGCTCTTATATAAAATTTTCTCTTAAAGGGCCAATCCACAGATCTAAATCAAATAGCACCTATAGGTTAATCATTTTAGATACAGAGAGCTTAATGGGTTTTTAACAAGTTGGGACATAAATATAGCAGGATTTTGAACTGAAAGAACTTTCCCTCCCCCACAAAAAATTTGGCTAGCTATATTTTCCATACCTATAGGGTTAACATATATTTCACAAAATTTCCTTTTCAGTATTGCTCTGTCATATAAAAATAAAAACAGATAATAATCAACAATAAAAAGATAAAGGTCATACATAGAATCATGACATCAAAGTCATGTGACTTTTCAGCTTATTTGACCTACTGAACTGCTGCACAGGCCACGTGGGAAGACAAAGGTCAGGGGACATGCCTTAGGAGAAGAAAGTCACTGGAGAAAGAGCAGGAAGAACTCTGGAGGGGAAGAGAGCATAGGCAGAACTCCACATTCTGCTCAGTGAGCATGCCTCAGCAGGGGTTTTTTTCTTTTTTTTTGAAAATAGTGTTTCTTTCCCTTTAAATTCAGGCTATTTTTCTGATGTCTTTTGCTTTAAGCAGTCAGTATGGGCACACAACTCCAAAAATATGTCAGGGAAGTGCAAAATATATGATTGCTCTGTTTTTGCAAGTCTTCTCAAACGAGGCAGGTAAACAGAGCAGTGTCCCCCCCACACTGGTCCAAAACACGTCTGTGTGACTGGACAGCTCTGAGGCCATCAGTCCCCTTCACAGCCTTGTAGGGGAGTAGTGATTTTCCCCCTCACTGGAAGTATGGATTAGATGAATTCTGGTAGCCAAGATCGAAAAGACTTCATGATTTTTCCCAAAAAGCCCCTATTTTCCAACTGGCAAAAAAGTTATTTTCTGTATTAGGTACTGGAATTATATAATTACAATTAATCATTTTAGCTTCAATTTTGGGAAAAAGTACTTTGTTCAGATTTATGAGAAGTATATTTTGTTAGAGTTTACGAGAGTTGCTATGAAACACAATAATTTGGGGGAAAATAAAAGAGACAATTTGTGCTGATGGGGCCATGGATGGATGACTGACAATGGATGATATCACCAACAGGCAATTATAACATCCAGCATTCCTAAATGATCTAATAATTTGTTTTGAAGAAATATAGCTTCTAAAAGACAATCTAAACATTTATTTGGATAGCTGTGCGTCAAAATAAAATTAAATATAGAAGTAAAGGAATTAATTCCAACCTAAAAAATCAAATATTTAGCCATCAACTGAAAAATGGTATGGGTTCCAAAAGTTTGTAAATGAATTATTTGCCACACTCAGTGTATTTCCTGTGGGAAAAAAAAACACAAACATTTTCTATGGGAATGTTGTAGGTAGTAGTAAGGCTCCCAGTGTGACCCTCAAAGAAGTAGATTAAATATTAGGAACACATATGTAGAGTGTATGTCGTAAAAGAGCATGAACGTTACAGAGCCAAAGACTCCTGGATGGCAGTCCTGGCTCTGTCATTCTCCGGTAGAATGCCACGAGAAGTTGTGTGCTATGTGGTCTCTGGCAAGAAGTCAGCCTCCCAGAGCAGCCTCTGTCTGGCCCGTAGCACACAGGAAACCCGGCCCCTGAGCAAGGCTGCTGCCTCGGAGGGAGGATTTCCTGTGATGGGGACCCCGCTTGTATCCTGGTGTTCTCAGGTGGGAGGCTCACGTGTAGAGTTGACGTCAAGGAAGATTACCTCCCACATGGTCCTGATACCGTTAAGGCTGTCAGGTCCACCTGTGAAGGCAGCGATACCGCTTACTGTAACTGCATAGTCTGTCAGGGGTTTGCAGTTCTCAGACTTAGGACTCAGATGAGGTTCAGCCTTAATAAAGACAAGGTTCATGTGATCCAATTAAACTTTTCACACACACAGATATGCTTTCCAAATGAGCACTGCCCCCCACCCATAAGGAAACTGCATGATAATACAGCCACCCTTTCATAAATAAAAAGAAGCATTTGTTATAAGATAAATCTGCATGCTTCAATAAAATGTTCTCGTATCTATCTAACTAGGGCTTATAGGGGATCTTTCAATGAAATACATGTCTTTTAGAAAAACAAGCTCTTGGGCAGAGCCATCTCTCACCTGCACAGTACCATATGAAAGCCAGAGAGTACACAGAGTCGTGGCCAATGGGAATGCTGACTGCTCACAATTTAGTTATTTTTTAAAAATGTTTATTTATTTTGAGAGGGAGAGCACGCACGCAAATGAGTAGGGAGGGGCAAAGAGAGGGACAGAGAGAATCCCAAGCAGGCTCCACACTGTCAGAGCAGAACCTGACAAGGGGCTTAATCTCACAACTGGGAGATCATGACCTGAGCTGAAATCAAGAATTGGGCACTTAACCAACTGAGCCACCCAGGTGCCCCAAATGCTCACAATTTAGAATGACTGTGACTAGAATGTTCATTATGCAAACCAGTGGAAGATGCTATCCATAACTGCTTTAAAATCAGAATATCATATACTCATAATGGTTTTTTTCTCTCTTTCCCAGATACTGGTATAAGCTCAGATGTTCCTACAATTAGACAAAAAATTAACATCAAAAGAGTTAAAATAACACACTATTCAAGGAAGGAGAGATTATAATAAAATAGAGAAAATCCCAAATTTACTGTTTATACTAATTCTCTATATGATTGAATAGTATGATTAAAAATGTTCCTTCTGTTTCCTAATTCATAGATTTCAGATGATTACTGGAGAAATAATAGCCACAGTTTGGACCAGATCTATGTACCATTCTACCTTGCTTATCCAAAATCATATTTTAAGGTAAGGTACCATGAAACTTAACAGAGAACAAAACTTTCTTACTATGGGAAGCAAAAAGATGTGACAACTTAAAGAGTTTTATTTAAAGCTTATAAACTGCCTGTACACTAAGTTATATTTTCGTTTATATAAACTGGCTCATGCGAAGCTGTTTTATTTCTTAATTAGTATACAGAAAATAAATCTTTATGATTAAAACACATATATATAACATTTTGTATATTCTTGATTTTTAATAAAATTAGGAGTCACTAAACCTGTATAACTGTTTTTGTTGCTAATTATAATTTTTTCCCCTAGAAGTACTTTATGGGCTTTATTCAACTCTGACCTAGTTTTATAGACAAACTCTAGGATCCTGGTTTATTGCCCTTAAAACTAAGAGATAAATCACTAATTAAAGAGCCAGTCATTGCAGCAATTACAGAGGGTCCTCACCTTCCTCTGGTGGCCTTCTGTAGAACCTTCATTCCCATCAGGCTGCAGGATTTCCCTTCCAACTGTTGGTCTTTCAAGATGGCGCCCTCAGAGTATACTTCACTGAACATTCCATAGGCATCTTGCACGAGAAGGCAGACTCTACAAAAGAATATTCACATTTTTTTTTTAGAAGATAGTTTTTGATTCACTACAGAGAATAGGATTCCCTTCTTCTTCACTAGGAATCCATTGAAATCATCTTCCTGAATGGATAAATCAGGGTAAATGAAGTTGAATTCAAACATGCGCTTTTAGATTTGTACTTACAGGTGTTTGGATCCGTATCCACCTCATATGGAAGGAAACAGAATTCTCTTTTGGCATAAAACTAAACCCTAAGCCAAATGTGGTTTAAAAGCACACGAAGAAGATCATCCTTTCAAATAAAATATATTGCCACTGTCCCAAAAAGGGTATCCTTCTTCCCCATTTTTATCTTGCCTTTTATAACAGGAAACATTTATATTTTGCATGGATGCTCAACATTGAAAAACCTTCAGTGTTAACATTATGATGAGAACAGTAAGGGGCTTTCTCTGAGAAAGTACATATTCACAGACATGCATATCCCAGTAGGATAAAAACCAGTATCCTTGCTGGCAGCAACAGAGACATGATGGATATTCAGTGACATGATGGGATTCCCCCCAACTTTTAAGTTCAAAGGGCAGTACTTATAAACACCTCTTTTCTTTTTTCTTAAAAAAATCTCTCTCTCTCTCTCTCTCTCTCTCTCTCAAGATGAACAAGCAGGGGACAGAGGTTGAGGGAAAGAGAGAATCTTAAGCAGGTTCCATGCTCAGCAAAGAGCCTGACCTGGAGCTCAATCCCATGACCCTGGAATCATGACCTGAGCTGAAATCAAGAGTCAGATATTCAACTGACTGAGCCACACAGGCATCCCTATAAAAACCTATTTATCACTGAATTTCCAATCCTCTCACTTCATAATTCAGGGAAATGAAGTCTTACTTATTATGATATGAAACATTCTCAGAAAATATTTACTGAAGCCTGAAGAAAATTTAGGTAATAAATAACACCACCAAAGAGAGTGTGAGGAACAAAACTATTTTAAAGATGAGGGTGTACAGGAAAGTGCATGTTGGGTAAGAGAAGATGACAAATGAACAAAGGAACACTAAATATGAAGTAGTGAACTATAAACATGCTTAGAAACTAGGCTTCATGATTAAGTCTCCCCTCTCAGGCCCACAGGGCCCCCTTGGTTCACAAAAAAAGCAAATGGAAATCTTGTGTGAAGGAAACCACCTTTAATTTGATCATTACTTGTCATGGAGTAAAGCCAAATCAAATAAATATGCACTCCAATAAAAATCACCTCATAGGAAACAAACCACTACATGGGAAGAGTAAAAAAAATAATAATAACAATAGACCTCTTGAGAACTTGACATATTAGAATTTAAAGATATGAAGTATGGAATAACTATCTTAAAAAAAGGAAATTCATGAAGATGTAATACAAGACAAAAAGCTGTACAAAATGACTTGGCATGTTTGAAGAATAAAATTAGAACTTTCAAAAAGGAAACACTCCACTTACTGAAATAAAAATGTTATTAAATAGGTGTAAACAAATGGTTACATGTACCTGAAGAGTATGGATATGTGAATTGGGTTACAAATTTGAATAAATTACCTAGAATGTATGTTGAGAGCTGAGATAAAAAATGTGAGAGGCTGGGGCGCCTGGGTGGCGCAGTCGGTTAAGCGTCCGACTTCAGCCAGGTCACGATCTCGCGGTCCGTGAGTTCGAGCCCCGCGTCGGGCTCTGGGCTGATGGCGCAGAGCCTGGAGCCTGTTTCCGATTCTGTGTCTCCCTCTCTCTCTGCCCCTCCCCCGTTCATGCTCTGTCTCTCTCTGTCCCGAAAATAAATAAAAAACGTTGAAAAAAAAATTTTTTTTTTAAAATGTGAGAGGAAAGAGAAGTACAGAGGATAGGATGAGAAAGTCTAACATTTGTCTAATAGGAATTTCAGAAGAACAAGAGAGAGGAAGAAGAAGCAATAGTTTGTAGATTTAGTAACTGGGAAATCTAATGTAAGAAATGAATCCAAAGATCCAGGAAGAAAAACAAATACCAAGCAGTACAACTAAAAGGAAACCCATCCTAGGACACACACTGTAATAAAACTAGAGAATATCAAACACGGTGAAAAGATTCTAAAAGCAAAAAGCATGAAAAGACAGACTATCTACAAAGGAATAAAAATTCGATTTACACCAACCTCCTCAAGAGCAATGAATGAAGCCAGATAACAGTGAAATATTTTAAGAATTCTGGAAGCCATCTCAAAACTGTGTACCTGCAAAACTATCTTTCAAGAATGATGGTAAAATAAAGTCATTTTTAGATAAACACTAGCTACATTTTCCACCTACACAGCCTGAAATATTTACTAGTTACTAAGATAATTACTAAAATAATTTCTAAATTATGTAATTTAGGAAGAAGGACATTATTCTGGAAAAAAGGGTCGAAGATACAAGGACTACTGACCAACAATATAAACAAAACAAACACAGTAGAATAAAATAACACCACCATCAACAACATCAATTAATGTGGGGGAGCTGAAAAATTGGAAATGGAGAGCAAGTAGGTCAAATGGGGTGATGAAGTTCAAATGTTTCCAAGTGCTCATATCACTCACAGCAGGATTAAGATATTAACTCCAGATTTCATTAAATATTTACATCTGGTAAAAATTCAAGGATAACCACCAAAAGAAAAGAAATAGGTGTATAAATTCCGAATTACTAGATGGAAAAAAATGGAATGAGAAATATAGACCAAAAAAAAAAAAAAACCCCAAAACAAACAAACGAGAAACAATACAACCTCAAGAAAATGCACACATAAATGCACCCATAAAAAAAGGGCAGGAAAATGTAAGGTAATAAGTATAATGGTAGACATAAGTCTATGTATATTAGAAATGGAATAAAAATGATTTAAACTTGTCAATTGAAAGGCACAGTTTGTCATGGTCGGTTTGAAGGAAAAAAAATGTTAACAGGAAATCTTCTAAAACACAGAAAGGTTTAAAGGGTGAAAAAAAAATGTTTCAGGTAAATATTAACCAAAAGAAAGCCGAGGCGGTAGTTCTGAGACTTAACTAAATAGATTCTAGGACAGAAAGCATTATTAAGGATAGAGAGGTCACTAATATTGATTTCAAATTTTTTTTTTTTTCAACGTTTATTTATTTTTGGGACAGAGAGAGACAGAGCATGAACGGGGGAGGGGCAGAGAGAGAGGGAGACACAGAATCGGAAACAGGCTCCAGGCTCTGAGCCATCAGCCCAGAGCCCGATGCGGGGCTCGAACTCACGGACCGCGAGATCGTGACCTGGCTGAAGTCGGACGCTTAACCGACTGCGCCACCCAGGCGCCCCATTTCAAAAAAAGTTTAATTTCCCAGGAAGGCATATAATTATAAATCTTTATGTTCTCAGCATCAAAATATATAAAGTCACACAACTACAGAGAGAAGTGAACAAACCCAACACCATTGTGGGAGAGTTCAACATACCTCTGCCAAGTATTAAGTCAATCTGAGGAAAAAATTAGTAAAGATTTGGAAAACTTGCATATACCTAAAAAGTTTGATTTGTTGGATAGGCAATCAGAAAAACTTCCCACAATTACAGAAAATGCATTCTCAAGCACACATAGGACATTTATAAAATGTGACCAATTGGCCGAAGACAGGTCTGAATGAATTTCAAAGAGTCAGTATTGTATGGGACACATTGTCTGCCTACAATATAATTAAAAGAGAAACCAAGCGAAAATAGGTATCTTTAAAAATCCTCCATTTGGAAATTTCACAGCATCCTTTTCAACTCATAGGTCAAATATGAAATCACAGTAGAAAA